TTTTTTTGAAAAAAGTTCTAACTTCTACTTATTTTGTTTATTTTAAAATTTCAGCTGGCTCTTTGCTTGTTCTATTTCTTCGACTCCTCAATCTGCTCCACTTCGCTGGACTCGTCCACCACCTTGCCGTTGACCATGGTCTGAGTCACCACCTTCACGATCTTTCTGGTGCGGACTTCGGGCTCCTCTGTGTTTAAAAGACATGAGAAGAGAATGTGAGGCTGACTAAACCAGTTTTTTACGCATATAAATACATTAAAAAAATGTAAAATCTCAGTAGTTTCACATATAGGATGATATGTGACTGCTACTAAAGCACTGAGTTTGTAAAAGTTGTGTTACCTATTCATCTCACATCACATCACACTCTCGTTTCTTAATCCAGCAGTGCAAGTCAGAGAGATTAGGACACACAACATGGGGGGAAATGTTTTCAGACCCACATTAGTTGCTATAGGAGCTGAGCTGTAAGTGGTTTGTGCATTGTTTGGATATTTACATAACTATAATTAGTTGTGGGCCTCCTGGGTGTGGTAAAAGATAGATATACCCTTCTGTCTGTCTGTCTGTCTACTACAATGCTGGCTCAGATCCACATTTGACTTTGAATACAGTTTTCCTTTTTTGCTTGACTTATCTTTCTCATAACTTCACTTTTAGTCATTCTTTACTTCCATAAAGTTTTCAATAAACGACAGCAACAGCAGCTACTACTGTGGTATTGTCATTCGGGTCTTCTCGTTTATAATTTCTGACTGTCTCTTATCAGTTCAAATTAAAAGCCGTATACTCACTTTTTGGTGGAGGAGGGACTTCTTTGACTCTGAAGGGCAGAAAGAAAACCTGTTAGAATTACCTTTTAATCAAAGCAAGACTAGCACATTCAAAGCAATCATTTAAAGGGAACTTATATATTTTATAATAGCTGGTTTCATGCAGCTTTATTTCAGTTTTTAGCTCTTTTTGATGCCAGTGAGAGCAGATATCCTTAATATAGTCACCTCAGGCACACAGATCTGGCTGTGAGTGCAAAAGCCCCACCCATTTGTTGTTCAAACCTTCGGTTTGTTAGGGGCAGCCAATCAGAAAAACACTGCCCTAAAAGGATGAAACACGCCCGGACACTGACAGCAAGCTTCAGTTTCTTACAACTTGCTTATTATTATATTGTTTTGTGATTAGGTTTTATAAACAATGCAGTACAGTTTACACTCTCATCATTTTTCCTGTCTGTTGCTTACTTTGGTGAGAACATTGGCACAGTAACAGTGTGCTCACCAAAGCTGACATCTGAGAACAGCTACACCCAACAATGCCAGGCGGCAGGCTAAGAACCACTTGATGTAAGATGATCATACAGGTATTGTGATCAAGGCAACAGTGTAGCCAAATTATCCCCATTCTGACAGAACATCAAACTACAAGGATGTACCATAATCTCTGAGTATATCAGGTGTGTTATTGTCCTTCTCTAACTTCTTCACTAAAATTTCTGTGTTACCTGCTGGCCAAAGCTAACATACAGATTTATTTTAAAGGGCTGGGTGAAGCATACTTAATTATAATTTCCCTTTGAGACATGTGCTAAATCTTTATTAGTATCGCTATACTTACGAGTCCTCTCCCTCCAGCAGGCGTCTGTAGGTGGCGATCTCCATCTCCAGGTTTTGCTTGATGCGAAGAAGCTGCTCATAGTCGGTCTTGGTGCGCTGCATGTCCAGCCTGAGCTGAGAGAGGTCCTCCTCCAGCTGGTTCAGGGTGACCTGCAGCCGCTCCATCTCAGCAGAATACTTTTGACCTGTCTCACCGAGGTTTCCCTCCAGAGCTGCTATCTGAGGAGCAAAAGGGAACAAAACCAGAAATGCAATCTATATCCGGTTTTGCCGTGAATATTCCTCATAGTCGTGATATCAGTATCAAGTTGAAAAACACCGGCATGTCCACCGGACATGATAACCCTATGATTTTCCTCATAACAGTGACTCTGCTGTGCTGTGTTGTAACCAGCGATCAGTAATATGATGCTACATAGTAGGTCGCCTGATTCTGAAATTGCTTCCCAAGCCCATATCAACAAACTCCTGTGAACGGACAAGTCCTTGGCATCTAAAGCAAACATTTGCTGCTCAGACACAATTAACCCACCTCACCACTGAAACTCACCCAGTACTATTTTGCAACTGAATGCGATATGTCCCTGCACGGTAAAACATGTTTACTGTCAACACAGGATTAAATGAAAGAAAAACAAAATGATTTTTTCCCAGGATAAGATGCAGTGGTACGGAAATGTACAAAGAATGTACACGAGACTTATCTGGACGTCTGTAAGGATTTTCTGTTGCTGTTGGACAAATCTCTTTCTTTAACACCTTTTTGAAAAGTTAATACTCGTAACCATGAATTTAGAATCACGCCTGAGGTGTGTTTGCACTGCTCTTGCGGGTATTAGGCTATGTTTGCACAACTCAAAATG